TGGTAAATAAAAGTTTATTTTTTGACAGGAGAAATTCTCAATATGTCAAATTTTCTAGTCATTTTCCTTTAAAAAAATATATCTTCCTGATGCCAAATTGTGCTTATGTTACTTCTATTTAACTTTACTCTGGCCTGAGAGGATTAGGTTAACATTACCTTATTGCTGCACTACTTTATGAAAAGCCTACTTTGTGTAAATAAGCAACAGCCTTGTTGAGCATTGTTCAGTGCTGGGGAACTTGAAGTATGGGAATCAAGCTGCCTCAAAATCAAAATTTTACCTAGTTTTTCTTGTTGATTTGAATTTACCTTAATAAAAGCATGCAAACAATTCAATAAAATTCTTAATTAAACAAAAATTATTCACTGGATTGACAGGATTGGGGATGTTGATTTACAAGGGCTTATTAATAATTAAAGATAAATTTCCCTATTCTTGACCTGAAATTCAATGGATGCAGCACAAAGAAATTAAATGGTTCAGTTATCATGAGAGCTGATTTTGGATGACACTTTTTAATAGAAATGTATTTAAAGGAACCCTGGTAAATGGGTTCTGTACTAGAAAAGAGTGTTAGTGCTCAAAGTGATCTTGGCAGTTTAATGTTTCAAAGGGAGCAATTAGATAAAGTTTCTAATGATTTGTATTTTTTAAGGATATCCTACTTTATATATGCTTCTATTTTAAGGATATAATAAAATATAAAGAAAGATCAGACACAATGAAGAATAAAAAAAAAGAAGAAAAAAAAAAAGACTAGACATAACACATTCAAAGTGACAGATCAAAAATTGCCAGGGGACAAATAACAGAATTCCTCTGATAGTTCAGTTTGGGGAGTCAACATTTAAACTATAAAAACACCCCTTTAAATGGTTACTGACAGTGTTTCTGACTTTATATCAGTTACTGGAGGTTGGCTTTTTAAATCTGCTTATTTGCCCTTTAACTCCTTGATTGTTTATGCAGGTCATACACTGGTGAATGAGAAAGAAAGACTGGCCCTGAGGACATCTTCTCTAATTAATAATTTTGCTTACAGAAGTAAAGGTGTTTTAGGAAGAACAATATGGAAAGGAAGGAACTAGAAAAATCAAGAAAATACTTACAATTCACTCAGAATACATAAAAAAAGACATTCAAAAAGCCAGAAAGCAGATGGTAACTTAAGAATATAGTAGTAGTATTAATGCGGATGTGTTGAAGTGATACACTTCATGGTTAGAAACTTATCAAAAGTTGTACTGGAAACCATGTGAAAATGAGAGAATGTCATTAAATGCAGGTACTAAAAAAGTGATTATTAACATGAACAAGATATTTTTCTTCCCTTTTACATGGGACTAAAAAAGTGTTTAATAATAATATTAGAAATAATTATTTGCAAAATACTTGGCAGTTAATGCATCTTTCATAAACAAATATTTATAAGGATACTATAAAAGGTATTAATTTAAACATGTTTTAATTTTATAATATCATAAACATTTAATATAAATAATAGGTACATTTTATATTAAGTATGTCATATGTTAAATAATCTACTGTTAAATAGATAATATATTATACATTAAACATATTTCAGTATCTTGTCCAGGACTAATTGGCTAAATGGTAGGGCTGGGACTTAAACTCAGATTCCATAATTCCAAATGCAGTGCTCTTTCCATCACATCAGGAAACCCTTTCCTGGATCTTTATGCTACACTGGGTTCCTTCATTCTCATTGCTGCTCAGGCTAAAATCAAATTAGTAGAGTGTTCCGATGACCATTATAACAGACTCACTTAATGTAATGTGTACCTTTTACAGGGAACAGTTACCTATATGAAGATGAGTTGGGCTTTGGCCACTTTTTTCTAGGCCAATCAATGGGCTTTGCCAGCTCAGCTCAAATGTGAGAGGGAGGTGGAGAAAAGGAGATGAAATAGGAGAGGGAGAGAATCAGATTTAGAGCTGGAAAGGATCACAAAGATAATCTACTCCCTCAATTTTAGAACTGAAAGTTACTTCCCTAGAACCCACTGAGGGAAATGGCAGGGCTAGAACCAATTCCTGCTTTCTCCTCTAAGTAAGTGTAATTGTAGCCCTGACAGTCTACACTTTCTTAAAACTGGCTTTTTGTCCTCCATTCCTGATAAAAATGAGATCAGGCTTGAAAAATCCATCTGAGGAAAATATGGTGGCTCTGGATACTGAGGATATAGCCATTTCCCTTTTTCCAAATTAATTCATCTAATATTTACTGAATTTCTACTGTGTTGCAGAGTATATAAATATTTAGAGATATGAATATCCAATTCCGTATTCAAGAACCTTATGCTTGCTGAGGCAATTCAGTCTCTAAATAATAAAACTATTATGCCCAGGCAGCGTGGCTCAGTGGTTGAACGCTGACCTATGAACCGGAAGGTCACAGTTTGATTCTGTCAGGGCATATGCCAGATTGGGGGCTCCAACCCCAGTGTGGGGCATGCAGGAAGCAGCCAATCAATGATTCTCTCTCATCATTGATGTATCTATCTCTCTCCCTCTTCCTTCCTCTCTGAAATCAATAAAAAATATTTTAAAAAACAATTATAAAATAATTTAGTTTCTAGATCAGTGGTTCACAAGCTCTTTGGGGGTCTTAGGCCCTCTATGAGAACCTAATATAAACTATGGATCTATTCCCCAGAAAAATCCATACCTTTTTGTACATATTCAAGAGATTACTGGATCCTCTTAAAGCCCATGAATTAAAGAAAGCTCCATTATCAGAGATTCATTGAGTACCACCACATAAAAATTATCTGAAGAACCAAAATTGAGAGAATCACTAGTGATCCCTTTTCTTTGATGCAGATGAATACACTTTAAAAATGTGCCATTGTTGGGGGTGGGGGCAGCCAGGGAGAGGTCAATGGGGGAAAAAGTAGACTTATGTAATACTTTAAACAATAAAGAATTTAAATTAAAAGAAAAGAAATTAATAATCTAAATTCAGATAGTTTTGTCCCAGTTAAGACATTAAATATAAGTTTGGGTCAGTTTAGCTCAATCAAGAACACCCATTGGTAAGCTGAGCTCAATCAATCGTCCCTGGGTTAGCTGTCCCTTCAGCCTGTCATCTCTGAAAACACTAGTTCCCTGAGGAACTAGGTGGGCCCAAGTAGCCGTATTTGTTGTGTAGTAGTAGTTGAAGTAGTTATAAAAAAAACTAGTAGTTATAAAAAAAAAAGCATTAAAAAAAGTTTGCTATAAAACAGTATGCCTTGTTTAGCCGGCAACAGCCTCACACATCTCGTATTTACTGAATCTCTTGATCGTATCATTTCCTCTTGTGCTTAATTTAATCTCTTGTTTTATACAGTAACATGCTGTACACTCTTGCAGCCTAGATGCAATAGGCTATACCAAATTGCCTATAAAGGCACGCTGTATGTATGTGTATGTATGTGTACATATGTATGTATGATATGTATGACATAATAATAGATCTGTTGTATCACCATTAAAAAAAAAGTGCCATTGCATGTTAAGGCAAAGGAACTCTTGCTAGTACCTTCTGAATGTCCCTCTAAAAATGTCTATTTCCATATATAGTATTATTATTCAATGAGAATATATATATTGTTTGTATTCAGAGATTAGGATTGACTTTTTCATATTTACATAAAACACAAAGATAGACTTCATTAAAACCAGAAGAAACACAGCTTAGCTAATGAATTATTCTATTTCAATTTTTTTTTTCTAGCTTGGAATGCTGTTTCTGAGGCTTTGATGCTGAAGGGAATGAAGTCATTAAGATGAGTTGATAATACTATAGTATGAGCACTTTCCTCCTGTCTATTAAAAAAATTATTTAGATATTTTGAAATTTAAATTAATTTCTTAATGAAAAAGGAAAAGATTGAAGTATAACAGTAGAGAAATCGCTGCAAAAGTGAGAAACTGTACAATCAATACTGAAGTTTCATAAATCATTTCCTATAGCTTTGAATAAATAGGGGAAAAAAGTACCAAGCCCTTTAATAAGGAATGATTTGGTTATGTTAAAAAGTTTTTAAAAACTGGTTATCTTGCTGCATATTCTGAAGCAAATAAACAGAACAGTTAGAATTAACAAATCCTTGAGTATACTAGCAAAGTGGACAACTGATCAAAGAAACTAGATAAAAGGACAGAAAATAAAAGGTTTTGCATTTAACTTTTAAAACTTGTAAGTAAATACTGTTATAATTCAATTTGATGCTTTGCTAACATTAAGTGTAAGAAAGAGAAACAGAAGGAAATGCCAAAGGCTGGAGAAAGGATTTGGATCCCTTTACTTATTTCCAGCATTCTAAATGGATTAGAAATACAAATTATTAGCAAATATGCACAAAAGCCTGGAGAATTGGTAAAAAATGATCATTTAAAGAACAAACAAGATTTCAAAAACATCAATTTATTTCTTTAAAAATGGAGAATAGGCAAACCTAACTACAGTCCCAACAAGAATCATGAGGCAGTACTGCCAGTTTAAAAGGACCTAATGCTAATGTTAGGTAGATTCTGATTTAAAAAATCCATTACAGAATAGCCCAGAGGCAGAATAAACTCTCTCATTGTGACAGACCAGTATGACTCTTAAAAGAATATGATTCTTCTAAGACACATTTTCCAATTAAAAAAAGGAGTTGAGCTTTTTTGGAGGAAGCTAGGAGAACAAAAGAAAGACTAGAAATGACATAAAAAACGACTTCAGGCTTAATGTTCAGGATCAGTCAAAAGGAGAATAAATTCCCCTTATTTCTTATGCAACTATTAATATTAAATATACTTGAAATTCAAAATAATGAAGCTGATGTTATAAACAAAAGAAAGCTGCATTAAGACACCCTTTCTGCCATTAGCACGGTGCATGTGAACTTACATATGATACACCTCTCTTAAGTGGTTCACTGTTAATGAAGCAGGACACATTAAAAGGATCAATGTGAGCATATACATACCACAGGCTGTTTTGTGATGTCCACCAAGTCCTTAAGATTATAATACTGATGTTTCTCAAAAGCCGAAAATAGCATGTCTAAAACATACTGTTTATCAGCTCGAGCTCGTTTTCCATCTTCTTTCTTTTTCCTTTCATATTCAATCTATGTGCAAAAAGCAAAAGAAATAAAAGCATTAATTCAACATGTTCACTCTGAAACAGGCATTTTCTTTCTTTCCTTTTAAAAAAAAATATATTTTTATTGATTTCAGAGGGCATTTTCTTTCTTTCCTTTTTTAAAAAAAATATTTTTATTGATTTCAGAGAAGAAAGGAGAAGGACAAAGACATAGAAACATCAATAATGAGAGAGAATCATTGAACGGCTGCCTCCTGCATGCCCCCTTACTGGGGATCAAGCCCATAACCTGGGCATGTGCCCTGACTGGGAATTGAACTGTGACCTTCTGGTTCATAGGTCAATGTTCAACCACTGTGCCACACTGGCCGGGCCAGGCATTTTCTTTTTAGGCATCCAAATAACAATTAGATTTTAAACTGCAAGGTAGCAGGTTTAAGAGCTATGGTTCAGAACCTGGGGTTCTCACTGCTCCCAGGGGTCCTCAGATCTTTAAGGCTCTAAGAAGTATTAGGTCAGTATTAATGTCGATCTATAAACCATTATTTCCTAAATTAAGTTTTATGCAATGTATCCATTTCTAAAAAAAAAAGGGGGGGGGGGCTTTCTTTGCCAAAATTCTATCAATTCAGCATGGCTCCTGGTTAGTTAGCTCATATTGATCAGAAAGTCTAACTTTAAGTTCTTTTGTTTTTGATTGTCCAAAATACAGTAAGTTTATCTAACAAATGTAGGTTAGTAGGTAACATCTTTCAAAATTGGAGGATTTAGGGGCAGCCAGAAGGTTAAGAGACACTGGCAGATCATAGAACAGGCTCTCTAGGAAGTGACAAGTTTGGGAAGCATTGGTAGAAAGCCAAGAATGTGGGCAGTGATAGGAGGCTTCTTCTCACCCCGACTGGGTGACCTCCCTGAACTTGTTTCTTCTATAAAATGAAGTAAACAATGACACTAAGGGGATGTACGGACTTACTTCTAGTGTTACCATTAGACTTGTTCATTTGTAAAAAATCATCTTTTTATTGAAAACATGCAAACTTTCAGCTAATTAAGCTTTTAATTTTCTTAGAAACAACTTCATTTTAATAAGGCATCAGGAACTTGTTAGAAGAACTATATTTAAACTGCAGCAGCCAGCCCACCTGGTAAATAAAGCATCAGCAAGTGACAGCTGCCAGAGAGCAATCTGCTGTGTATCCACTGGAATAACTATAATCTAGGGGCTTGAGTCCAAAGTAATGAAATACTTTCAAAACTTACAATAAATCACTGCATAAATTTCAGCCTCAAACAGTTGGGCTTACTCTCTCTATTTTAACAATAAAGATTTGTTATTAAAAAGATAATATTTAGTTTCCACTGATGTTAAGACTAAAAATTTATCTATACTTATTCAAAAATTTTCAAATTAGAGGCAAGAGGTAACTATGACAACAAAGAATATCTGTCTTTCAAGTAAATAAAACTAGAAACTAGACAACAAAAAAGGTCTAACAACCGTCTTAATTTTTTTGATATGTAGACCTTGGGAGTACAACTCAAAATCTATTTATCTCAGGAGGTAGAGAGGTAAGACTAATGGTGTGTAAGGGCACAAATTTGCAATAAGCAGTAGATAAGCCATAGAGATCTAGAGCACAGTGTAATAAATATAGACCACATTGTACTTTATGTAATATGAATATAGATAATATTTACTATAATTATGTAATATGGTAAACATCACTAGGACAATCATATCTATGTATATAAAAGTCTAATATGCAAATTGCCCCTGTGGGAGTTGGATCAGGAGACCAATCGCTCACTATGACATGTGCTGACCACCAGGGGTGGTGCCAAATGAAGGAAAGCCCCAGCAGGCAGCTGGAAGGAAGGCCCTGGTCAGCAGCCAGAGGCCCCTATCGGCCCTGATTGCCAGCCAGGCTTAGGGACCCTACCCATGCACAAATTTCATGCACCAGGCCTCTAGTTATAATATATACATGTATCAAAGTAACATGTATAACTTAAATTTACCCAATGTTATATGTCAAATGTATTCAATTTAGAAAATAAATCAATTCATCACTTTATTTTAAAATATTACACATGGACTATGGGCTACCCACTGCACTAAGATACAAGGCAGATAAGATAGCATCTTACAAAATGTATCCCTTTCTTAGGGCTCATGTATTAAAATGCATATAGAGGACCTTGAGCATTTTATTTTATTTTAAATTTTTTTAAATTGATTTCAGAGAGGGAGGGAGAGATAGAAACATCAATGATAAGAAAGAATCATTGATTGGCTGCCTCCTACACAGCCTACAGTGGGGATCGAGCCCACAACTCAGGCTTATGCCCCGACCAGGAATGGAACAGTGACCTCCTGATTCATAGGTGGACACTCAACCTTGAGCATTTTAAATGTAGTGATAGATCACAGAGCTCCTAGGACAAGATCATAATGCTGAAGAAAAAAAAAAAGTACATGCATAACACAGACTGTATTGTTGGGAAGGAATGAAATACAGCCAGTCTCAACATTTTCTGAGAGGGAAGACCATGAAAGAAACAATGATGGGAAACTAAAGAGGATTTATTAGAAAAGAATAGAGGGACTAGAAGAGCTAGAAGCAAGACTAGAGGGGAGAGATTAGAGAAATCTATGACCAAGAAGAAAATCCAAGTCTTCTAGTGTGGGAAAGATGGAGAAACAGATGATAAAATGCACTTAAGGACAAAAGCAGAAATACAAAGTCTACCCTGATTCAGCAAGAAAGGAAGCTGCAAGAGGGCAAAGACCACAAGGGATGGATGGACATGAGGTCCACTCAAGAATTTTTTTTCTTTAGGATCAAAAGAAGGATAGAACTAAGAGAGTGATTGTATGATAGAGAAAGAAAGCATGACAGACAGGAAAAAACTCATAAATCCAAGCATGAGGGTCTTTGGATTAAAAAAAAAATACATATATATATATATATCATAGAACGCTTAAGGGATTAATATTTTAAGCCTTACTTTATTAACCAATGACAAAAATATATCTATTTTTCCTGGTTACAATTGTACTTACATCCTAAAATCCTCTTCCACTGTTGCACTGCACTTGACTGGGTTTATGTTTTATATTGTGAGGGACAGTCCAGAAAGGGGGCTTGCTAAAAAAGTAGGAACAAGCCTTGGCTGGTTTGGCTCAGTGGACAGAGTATTGGCCTGCGGACTGAAAGGTCCCAGGTTCGATTCTGGTCAAGGGCACATGCCCAGGGTTGTGGGCTCGATCCCCAGTGGCTGGAAAGCAGGAGACAGCTGATAAATGATTCTCTCTCATCATTGATGTTTCTATCTCTCTCTCCCTCTCCCTTCCTCTCTGAAATCAATAAAAATACGTATTAAAAAAAAAAGTAGGAACAAGTCTGGACCAGGGGATGAAGCTGTTATAATCCTTTAGTCTGATCAAATGTGGGATAAGAAAAACTTTGGGATATAGAAAAGAGGAGTGAGAATCAGCTACGGAGGGGTGGGGAAAGCCTATTCCGTTCTCATAGGCTTGAGTGGGATGTGGGATTTCATTTAGCCAAAGGCCACTGGTCCTCAAGAAAAGCAGTAGGGAGGAAATAGGTACCTAGCAAAAGACCAGTGTTAGGCTTTTGTATTCTCTGTATGGAAACACAGTTGTGTGATATGTCTGCCCTCCCTTCCTAGCCTTAATTTATGCTGAAAGAAGAAAGTTAAATTCAGGGAACAGGAAAAAAAAGGGATGATATGTTCAGCTTCCTCCCTGAGAAGTCTCTCTCTTGTGTAAAATGACCAGAGAAGCTAGGAAGATTAATAAAAAAAAGTCTTCAAATAAAGAAACCTACTAATAAAGCAAGAGGGCCCACTTCAGAGGGTTCACACACTCTACTTGGCAGCAGAGAGAAAAACTTTTTAAGTGTTTGTTATTAAGTTGTCCCAACCCCAGAGCCACATGTCAGACCCAAGGAGGCCTGAATCCAAGGAAAGAGTCTAAAATAAGTTAGAAAGAAACATTAAAATCAAACTGAGCCCGGCTGGTGTGGCTCAGTGGTTGAGCATCAACCTATGAACCAGGAGGTCATAGTTTGATTCCTGGTTACTGCAAATGCCTGGGTTGCAGGCTCAATCCCCAGTGTGGGGGATGCAGGAGGCAGCAGATCAATGATTCTCTCTCATCACTGATGTTTCTCTTTCTCTCCCTTCCTCTCTGAAATCAATAAAAAATATTTAAAAAAAATTAAACTGAAAGGATAAGATTGATTAAGTTGTGATTAGCAATGTTCGTAAGTAGTGAGAAAAGTACCAAATTCTAACCAGATCTCTTTTCTTTTAATCTTGGTTTACATACTTCAATCTAAAAAATGCTGCATTGATGTTGGTGCTTTCCTACTTTAAATAAGGGAAAAACAGATCAATACCTAAGGGCAGTGCAGCCTAACTTTACTTTGACCAGTGAAATTAAAACACTTAAAAGTATAATCTGAAAACCCAGACATATAAAATAATAACAGGAATGACAAAAATGGAAATATTCCTCATCAGAGAAATTTAAGTACTAGAAATTTAACCTTATACTTATTTAAAAACAAAAAATGGAATATCTCCTTAATGCCTTCAGGGCCCCCTGCACTATGGATAACCTATAAAATATTGTTTTAAAGCAAAATTTTTATACTATAATATTAGTTAAATATCTTTTGATAATTCCTAAGACAGGCTCACAATCCAAATTCTGCTCTGTGATATCTGGTATTCCAATGTATATCCTATATAATAAAAGCCTAAAATGCTAAGTGTCTGGTCGTCCGTTCAACCAATCAAAGCATAATAAGCTAATGATATGCTAAGGCCACTCAACCACTCGCTATGACGTGCACTGGCCACCAGTGGGGCAGACACTCCAACAAGTAGGTTAGCTTGCTGCTGGGGTCTGGCCGATTGGGACTGAGCGAGATGGCCGGACACGCCCTGGAGCCCTCCACGGTCCCTCCCCAGCTGGCCAACCTCCCGCATATCTAC